AAACCCTAAACCGTTCCTAATGCCAGAGCCGGGATGCTGCACTGATTGGTCGCCTTCACCTGCTTTGCGGGCAAGCTTTGTCGCGTGTCTCTGCTTTGGGCTCGTGGATCCTGTTTGTTCACGAGTCGGTAACTAGTAACCCTAATATAGGAGCCTAAATACATATCAATACTACTTTAAGGGGTTCCTGAGAAACAGTTGTTGTATAATATAGCCCAAAACCCTGTTCTAATTACTATAGAACCCTATTATATAGATCCCTTATAGAATCCTTTAAGGATCCCTTTAAAGGAAGCCCAAAACCCTATTCTAATCATTAAGGCCCCTACATTAGCTGCCGAGCACGGTTGCCAAGGCTGGAGTCAGCATCGCGGCGGCTTCGGCGTTGTTGCAGCTCAGCGTTCAACTCGGACACGGGGCCAGAGAGACCAATACCCCCTGACTCAGGAAAAGACCTGAAATCAGATCGTTTCACCCAATATAGTTTAACGGTTTAGGGGTTTAGGGGTTTAGCGTTAGGGTTTGGGGTTAGGGTTTAGGGTTTAGGGTGTTTTGGATAGACTTCTTCACTCAGCGGCATTGTGCTCTCTGAGGGTGTCTCCAACTCTCCAAGCCTCTTTCCGGGACTTTTTGGGGTAGGCTTGCGACTTGGGCTCTGATCTCGGCTAAACCCTAAACCCCAAATCCAGATTCAGAGTACTGATCAGGGGCGTCCTGAGGCTCGAACATCCCTTCAAAAGCCTGGACCCCCTGATATGATCTTTAGGGTTGACGGTTCGGGTTTAGAGTTTAGGGTTTTAGGGCTTAGGGTTTAGGGTTTTAGGGTTTGGATTTAGGGTCTAGGGACGATGAACAAGGCTAAGCCCTATAACCCTTAAAATCTTGAATCCTAAACCTTTGAATGACTTCTACAAAGAAAGCAAGCCCCTGAAGCCTTAAATCCCTGAAAGCTAAACCCTAAACCCTAAGCGAAGCTGCATGTGCTCCGCTTGCAGCTGCTTCTCTTCGGGGTTCTTGACTCCTGTAACGTACTTGGAGGATCATGGGTAGTTATAAGTGGGGTTATAAGTAGGGTAACTGTACTGATAACCCAAGTTAGGGGACTATAATCCCATTTATAACTACCCACGAACCCTAAACCCTAAACCCTACACCCTAAACTCTAAACCTTCAAGTGGACCTCTGATGAATAACCGCCCCCCCTATTTACCTCAACAGCGGTTACGATGGGCATCATCCCTCCATTCAGGCCCTCCAGGAAAAAGTTTACTAATGAAGGGGCCTAAACAATTACCAATACTATTTGGGGGCTCCTTGCTATAGTTATAGTATACTGGGCCCCGAACCCCTATTCTAAATTATTAAGGCCCTATATGAATCAGCCCCACAACCGACCTATGTGCATATGGGGTTCTTACAACCCGAAACACTGCAAAAACCTTCGAAGTCCCTCTGTACTGCTGAAATCGAAGGTTCATCGACCGCCACCGTTTTGCAGAGAAGCTGCGTGACCAGGTTTGCATTATGAGTATACGATGGTATGTAATTTTAGTAGGTTCTGATAGATGGTGGTAATGTTTTTGCTTGTGCGGCTTTGCTTGAACGGCCGATTGGCAGAATTTTGGGGCTCAGTGACGCTGGCTTAGGGTTTAAACTTGTGGTTCAAGGCGGGTTGGGGTTTTGGTTTAGCTACGTGGTCAATCTTTTGGGCTAGGGTCAGGCCTCTGGTCAACCAATTGTCTAGACTGGATGCCCTCTGCCCTCTGCTTTCTGCCTGCCCTTGCCCTTGCCCTTGCCCTTGCCCTCGCCCTCGCCCTCGCCCTCGCCCTCGCCCTTGCCCTTGCCCTTGCCCTTGCCCTTGCCCTTGCCCTTGCCCTTGCCCTTGCCCTTGCCCTTGCCCTTGCCCTTGCCCTTGCCCTTGCCCTGCCCTGCCCTGCCCTGCCCTGCCCTGCCCTGCCCTGCCCTGCCCTGCACTGCCGTGCCCCATGCCAGGAGCAAAATATTTTTTTTTGATCTGTGAATAGTTTTTTTTTGATC